AGAGTTGCCACCTGTTAAAAAAGTTTAATTAAATTAATACGCGGAAAAGTCTGAACGGGTCAACCAACGATGTGCATATTAAATTTACTTACTTTTTCGTTGTATACTAGCATTAATAATAAAATTTGCAATAAATAACTCAAAAAGGCCATATTTTCTTTTGTTTATTTACAAACATGTGTTTGTGATCAGCCGATTTTCTTACTTGCAAGTTTTAGCTGGGAAAAATTTTTCCAGCAGAAATTTGCAGCTCTCTTTCACATTTTGGTCTCTCAATTTCCCCTACTTTGCAAGTTTTTTGGGTACGAGAACGTAAAACCAGTAAAAGTTTTCTAAAACTTTAGATAGTTGGGCGTACGAGTACACTCCTAATAATAGATTGGTGCTTACACATATGTTAGTGTTTGGCCGAGCTTATCCTCCGATTTGTGGCGTGGCCTTGATGTTGTCACACAAAGCGGAGGGACCTACAGTTTTACGGCGAATTTATTTTTATGAGAAGCTATTTTTCATGGCAGAAATACACTTGTAGGTTTGCCATTGCCTGCCGGGGGACGACCGCTGTTAAGCAAAAACCATTTTTCTATATTTTTGCGATGTTGCTTTCACCAGGGTTTGAACCCAGGTGCTGCGGAGTGGAAGCGCGCACTGCTTACCACTACACCACAGCGGCCGACCTTTTTAAATTTTTCCCACGACAGTCGGGTCTACGTAACCGGAACGACCCAGATTTATATCTGGCCAAGGATTGTCACTCCAGCAACACTCCCCAAAAACCATTTGGGGAACTTGTATGCTGCTACAACAACAACAACAACCTTTTTAAAGCACATAAAAAAATGAGCTTCTAGTTTCGAAGTTAGCACAAAATGAAATTTTTTGTTTGTTGTTTACAAAAAAATACTTGGCAAGTATATAAGTCAAAATTTTTAAATATATATCGCTTTCATCTACTTCTTCATAGAGTTGGTGCTTCTTTTATAGGAAAATTCATACGGCTTATGAACAGATTCATACCATGTAAATGCACCATAAATCTCTTTGACTCATTAAATCCCACAAGTGGTGACCCCGTAGTAAAAACGAAGATAGTGAATAAAAGACGTGCATCAAATCACCATGCTAAGGCGTGCAGAGCAAACTTGCGCGTTAATAGCTGTGGACAAATTATCTCGCTTGGATTTGAAGCGCCTCGAATATTCAGAGCAAAATCTGCCTAACCAGCTCACCGAAAGCGAAAGTACAGTTCAGGTGTCACGCCACCGAAAATTCGTCGACCGTACACAAGCCGGCAATCATAGCGGTACACGAAGTAACGGGCGACCGTAATACCTACGGGACCCGGCAACATGAGCTTGAATAATAGCACGGAAGAGCTCGCAAAAGACGACAGTAACGCTGCCGCGAACGACAGCCCAAACGTCAACGCGGGCGTCGACAACGACAGACCGCAAATCAATGCGGTATTCGAAAAATTACCGTTCCCAAAACTAAACTCGAAGTACAATATCGAATCATGGTTCATAAAGGTGGACGCATGGTTCGAACTGCATGGTTTCGGTATACGTGAAGAAAAATATAAGTATACCATCATCGTTGCACATGCTGGCGACTACATACTGGACCAGGTTATCGATCTGGTGCGCTGCCCTCCAACCACGGCACCTTACACAATGCTAAAAATGGCCATCATTGAAAAATTCAGTGATTCAGCAATGGCCCGACTCGACAAACTTACGGGAATCCAGTTGGGCAACGGCAAACCAAGCCACTTGCTCAGCCAAATGCATCGAACAAACGCCACGAAAGACGAGTCCGTCATACAACAGTACTGGCTCAAACAATTGCCGGAAGCTGCTCGCGCCGTTATCGCCGGTATGCTTCAGGCGCAACCAAGCACGCCACTACATCAACTCGCCATCACTGCCGATGCGGTCCTCGACACACTAAGTCGCGACTCAAATGCAACAGCACCAACCAGCGGGCCATCCGTCAACGCTATAGAAACACCTACCAATCGACTCGCTGTGCTTGAAAAACGAATTCAAAAGCAAGACTCCGTTCTCGAAAATATCAACAGCCAGTTGAGCCAGCTCATGTCCCGAAACTTCAGCCGACAACGCGAACGTCCACTGGTGAATGCTAAACGCTCGCACACACCACATCGCAGGTCCAACGCAGAACAATCACCTGCTGGTATCACCGGTAATATGGTACTCAGGCTCGAAAATGCCGAAGTCCATGCGATTTTCCCACAAAAAAGTCAGACCCGACAAAAAACTAAACGCTGCCGTTACGACTAAGCTCGACAGTTCCGGCAGCAGGCCATAATCGAGCAACCAATCCCAATGCGAACTCGAGGTAAAATTTTCTGAGTTTACTAAATCCCAACGTTTTTTTATACTAGATCGAATATCATATCAACTATTTTTGGTCGACAACGGCGCAGAAGTGTCGGTCATTCCACCAACTCGACCATGTCGCTTGTCAAATTCTGAAGACAACCCACTTTTCGCCGCTAATGGGACCACCATTAAAACCTAAGGCGTAGTCTGACCTTGGTCTTCAACGCAAACTCGTAAGGAACTTCGTCATAGCGGAAACTAAATACGCCATGATCGGTGCCGACTTCCTCCGGCATTTCAACCTAATCGACATCAACAAAGCACAACCTCGACCAGGTATCAGCAGCAACGAACATCGAAACAGAGAGTAGCTCCACTGAAATCGCAAACCTTCTTCGGGAATTTGGTGACATCAGAACCCTAAAGCACGAGCCCCATCGTCAACGCAGACTGGGGTGACCCACTGCATAGAGACAAAAGGTCCACCAGTGTTTGCACGACCCAGACGACTCGCACCCGACAAACTAAAAGCTGTGAAAAAGTTTGAGTTTCCTAGCAGACTGGGAATCTGCCGCTCGTCGAAAAGCTCGTACGCCTCCCCTCTACACCTGGTAAGAAAGTCAAGCGGGGAATGGCGCACATGCGGTGATTACCGAGCCTTGATTCAGACTTCACTCCGAGCCTCTTCAGGGACACAACGCGCATCAAATGGACCGACGAGGCAATCAACCATTTCAACGAATGCAAAAAAGAATTAGCAAACGCAACGCTATTGCTTCATCCAGCCCCGAATGCTCGAATATCGCTCAGTACGGACGCCAGCGACACTGCCATCGGCGCAGCACTTCATCAAATTGTACACAACGAGTTTCAGCCACTGGCGTTTTTCAGTCTAAAACTCAGCGAAGCACAACCGAGGTACAGTACCTACGACAGGAATTACTTGCGGTATACCTAGCCATCAAGCATTCCGAGCCATGCTGGAGGGAAGACTATTCGAGGTACGAACAGACCACAAACCGTTAGTCTACGCTTTCGCACAAAAACACGACAAAGCATCACCGCGAAAGCTGCGTCATCTAGACTTCATCAGTCATTTTACGACGAACATCATACACGTCGCAGGCGCCGAGAACACGACAGCAGACACACTATCGCGCATCGAAGCGGTTGAATCAATAACCATCGACTACCACCGGATTTCCGAAGATCAAGTTAGTTGCCCAGAACTGAAGAAAGATTGTGCATTCCAAACACAAGGCACACAATCTACTGCGATACATCTACATCGGAAGAACGCCCATTCGTACCAAGCCCGCATCGCAAAGATATCATCGACAAAATGCATAGCATCTCACACTGAGGCGTGCGGGCAATCACAAAGCTCATCAAGGCACGCTTCGTTTGGCCAAATATGGGCAAGGATATTGCCAAAGAAGTGCAACGATGTCTCAGCTGCCAAAGATCTAAGGTCAGTAGGCACGTTCGCTCACCACTTCAACAACTTTGCCGTCGTGTAGATTTGAACACATCAATATCGATCTCATCGGACCACTTCCACCATCGAGTGAATTCCAGTACTGCCTCACGATTATCGACAGGTATACGCGATGGCCAGAAGCCGTTCCTCTGAAAGACATAACAGCGGAAACAGTCGCCAGAAAACTCCTCAATGTTTGGTTTTCGCGCTTTGGTATACCAGCACGCATCACAACCGACCAAGGAAGACAGTTCGAGTCGCAGCTTTTTAACGAGTTGTCACGTATGCTGGGTATAACCACCCTGCGGACAACAGCATATCACCCGGAAGCAAATGGCATCATCGAACGCTGGCATCGCTTACTGAAAACAGCAATAATGTGTCACGAACGACAAGACTGGATAAGCCGCTTGCCAATAATCTTGCTAGGACTGCGCACAGCATTCAAGCCCGACATCGGTACAACAGCCGCGCAACTTGTCTACGGTACCACATTACGGTTGCCTGGACAGTTTTTTAACGATAGGCAAATCTTTTGACCACAGTCGGACTTCGTCAAGCAGCTTTCCGACATGATGCAGGAGATTCGCCCAACTCAAACCGCGAATCATGATTCCTTAAAAGCATTCGTATTTAGCAAACTTGCCGATGCAACGCACATAATTGTACGCAACGACAAAGCTCGACCGGCGTACGATCCACCTTACGATGGCCCATATCCAGTGGTCTCCAGACAGCCTAAATATTACACCGTCAAAATCAACCGCAACAACGTAAATATATCCATAGACCGACTTAAGCCAGCATTCATCGAATCCCTCGAAGCAGATACTCAACCAACGACAACCGCGACTCAACAACATTCAGCCACGTCGCACACAACACCATCTTCAATATCATCGACACCCGAACAGTTGCCTCCGAAGGAGACATCAACAAACCGCATCGGACGCAGTATAAGACTCCCCGTCCGTTTCCGGACGTAAAGTCTGGGGGGAGCACTGTGGCAACCTGGCTGAACTAACGAAACTATGGCAACCCCGCATGCGGAAGAAGAAAAGAAAGCGGACATAGCAAGTGCACTTAATCGTTTCTACAGAATAAATTCTTAGCAATCGACCCGCCGGCGAATATAGACTTAATTACTTTTTCGTATTTCGTATTTCTTTATTTAGTCTATGATTAACAAGAATCTTACAGACCAGATACAAACAAAAGTGTCTAATACAATTTAAAAAATTAACTTACAACAAGGAAAATAAAAGATTCTTAAAACAAAGCCGAGTTAAGGAAAAATCAATACAATGATTATTATTTAACGTATTAATATCAATTAGCATACGTGTGATTGGCCCATTCAATGCATAATTGGACTTCAAATTATCAATGGCAAACATATTATGCCGACGCAGATTCTTAGGTGGCACATGAAAGTTCAAAGACTCTAAGAGTATGGGGCAATCGATGTAGCAATTAACAATATCATAAATAAAAGTGATTGCCGATATTACTCTTCTACTCTGCAATGTGTGTAAATTAATTAATTTGCACCTGGAAGCATAAGAAGGTAGGGGCAAGTCGAATTTAAGATCAGATAGGCAATATTTCAGAAAAGTTTTTTGAACGCGTTCAATTCTTTTATTATGAACTTCGTAATAGGGACTCCATATTATAGAGCCATATTCAAGTCTAGATCTTACCAAAGAGTTGTACAATAGTTTTCTAGTATATGGGTCCTTAAACTCCGAGCTATTCCGTTTCATAAAGGCCAGCATCGAAAAGGCTTTAGGAATTACGAAATTGAGATGTTCAGTAAACGTGAAAGATGCATCAAAAACAATACCGAAATTGCGAATTTTGTCAACCCTAGCTAACGGCGTATCAGAAACATAATAAATAACTCGAAATCAAGTTATTATCGAGTTTACAGTAGGTAATAGTGTAGCATTTATTAGCATTGAGTGTCAATTTATTCCTGTGGCACCAATCATTAAAACAGTTGAGTTCAAAAAGATCTTTAAATCATCTGCATATAAAAGATACCTGCATTGCCTAAAGCTAACACTTACATCGTTTATATAAATTATAAAGAAAAGCGGGCCAAGGATACTCCCCTGAGGAACCCCGGAGGTTGCTACGTAAGGAGATGATCTAGCATTATCAATAACCACGAAGTTGACTCTGTTATGCAAATAAGATTTTATCCAAAGCAAAAATGTTGAACAGAAGCCTAGTCGTTGTAACTTAGCCAATAATGCACTATGCGACACTCTGTCGAAAGCCTTTGAAATGTCAGTATAGATGCAATCAACCTGACAACCATCTGTGAAAGCTAAAACGCAATAACTAGAACACACTGCAAGATTGGACACTGTCGAGCGTCCAGGAATAAAACCATAACAATCTTCTCAAAAAGCTTCGAAATAACAGGAAGGTTAGATATTGGACGATAGTTGGAGACATCATTTTTGTTACCACTCTTGTGAATAGGGTGAATATAAGTAATTTCCCATTCGTCAAGAAAAATTCCAGACTTTAGTGACAAATTAAATATATGTAATAATGGCTCAGCAATAGTAGACACACATTGTTTTAGAAAAAAGGATGACAGTAGATGATTATCACACTGCTGCGAATTTTTGAGAGTCTGGATACTTGATATAATATCATCAGTATCAAGAACTAAAGTGCGAAAATCAAAATGCGGCACAATATTACTTAAGATAACACCATCATCCATCAATTCCGCAAAAAAATTTGCTGACTCATAGGATGAAGAAGAGTTTTTGCCTTGATAAGACACTGACAATGGAATTGCTGACGACGATTGCTTCGAGCGAATGAAGTTCCAAAAAGATTTCGGATTGGACTTAATATTATTTTCGAAACCTAAAACGTATTGATTGTATAAAAATTTATTCAAACAATTGAACTCTTTCATGTACTTTAAGTATTCATGCTTGTGCTGAGGGGATCCTGATTCCTTAGAGAGCTTAAAAAATGTATTGCGCAAATGTTTAAGTTTCTTTAGCCTATTTGTATACTAAGGCAATTTATGCGCCCTTGCTGGAAAAAGAGGAATATAGTTTTTCGCTATTTCCGAAATATTACTTTTAAGTATTTCAAAACAGTCTGAAAGATTACGTTCCTGAAACAAAAGTTGCCAATCAACGTTAATAATTAAATTATTTCCTAGGGCAAAATCACATCGACTATAATTCAATATAACATCATTCCTAGATACAATATGCGCATACTCATAAAATTCTGATTCTAAAATTAGGGGTACGTGATGCTTATCAGTAACGGATAACGGATTACAAGAACGCAGCAAATTATAGTTTAAATCATTGCTAACAAAAAAAAGATCCAAGATTTTATTAAGTGCATTTACAAAATGATTAATTTGCACTAATTGTAAGCTATAAAAACTATCAACTAAATGGATTTCATTAGCATAATTGACATTGTTGGGTATGAGAATATTCTCACCCGGCAAATAACTCCATATTATTTTATTCAAATTAAAATCGCCTAATACGCATAGCTGCTCGTTAGAATTAGTCCTCGGAATATGCATAATGTTATTAACACGATAATCATATAACTTATCAGAGCTATTTGGGGGGTATATAAGATACACTAACATATAGAATACCTTTATTACCCACTAGAGAAATGATTAGCTGATCAATGAGCGCATCACCGTTACTAAGAGGTACCACGGAAGTGCGTAGTTCTTTACTCACAGCTATTAGAACTCCCCCACCTCGGGAAAGACCTGTCTTTACGACATCCCGATCTTTGCGAAAGACGTTGTATAGCTGTTTATCAAAAAATTCAACAAGAACTATCAAATCATAACCATTCTTAGAAGTGGCATCGTAGATAGCCTAACCTAGAAACAAGTTCCTTGCCGCGCTTAGGGATTATAACGCTCACTACGTAGAATTCTCCTTTCTGTGTTGCCAAAGAAAAGGGGCTGAACACCTTTTGCAGAGAAAACCTTTCTGCGTAGGTGGCCTTCGGCCACGCTTAGAGATTATAACCCTACTATTTATTTAAATCTGAACAAAAGAACCTTATCGTATTTTCCTTTTAATCGTATTTTCTTTTGATCCTACTTTCCACGCTTGGTTTGTAGATGTGGCAACACATTCCTGCTGTCAATTGCAAATATTCTGCCTGTACTCTCATAATAATTTAACAATGAATTTTTCATAAAAAAGCTGTAATATACTAAAAGTATTTATTTGTTTGGTCGTGCACACGGGTTGCCTTTAGCGTACATCGCTCCCGATATGGCGGGCACCTAGTCGCTGGTGCGGGGGCTTAGCCGAATGGTCAATCGGTCCTTCCCTGGATTAAGTTAACGCGAATGCTCTCGTAGCATCCGCGCTACCCTGACTCAGCTTAGGGCCGCTGGCGGACGGTGACCAAGATCTGCCACCTCCTAATCCAGGGTGTGACGCGACACCGTGCCCATTGGACGGTTTGCAGCCAGGAGGGAAACCGGCTGTATTATAACGGCGCCTTCTCGACACCGGGCCGCCTTGAGGAGTCACGGTGGCCTTCCCGCGACAAGGGGCGCTGGCTGACGAGATCCCCCTACAACCATTAGACTGCTATGTCTGGCGAGTCAGGCACGCGGTCGTACGAACAAGATGTATACAACCAAAGAAAATAAAACTAAAAACCAAAACCAAACCAAAAACAACAACAAAAGAAGAAGAAACAAAAGCCAAACACCGGACCTATATAAACTTTTCTAAAGCTGATTGGAAAGGTTACGCGGAGTTTACCGAAAACACCTTCACAGCGCTTCCCACACCAACCGACGTCCATCTCGGTGAACGTAAGTTCCGCAGGGCTGTCACTGCTGCTGCAGCTCGCTTCATACCGGCAGGATGTATAACGGACCCACGTCCAAACTTCCCTGCCGAAGCGGCTGTTCTAGCCGATGAGCGTGATAGCCTTCGTCAGGTCGATCCCGGAGATCCCCGTATCAGGGATCTCAACGCGGAGATTCGGCAACTAGTAAACGTACATAAGCGGAAGAAGTGGGAGGAGCATCTGAAGACCTGTAACTTCACCTCTGGTGTGAGCAAGCTTTGGTGAACCGTGAGGTCGCTGTCCAATCCGACGAAGCACGACGACAGAGTCGAAATTTCCTTCGGCGACCGGCTACAGACTGCACAGAACACCGCACACAGGACAGCGACAGGATGCCTCCTGATGTCGCCCGAACACCATCTTCACGGCGAGACGCAAATACTCCCCGTAAAGGAGCACAACATAATGCTCTGCAAGCAGTTCCTGATCGGGAGCCACAGAAGAGGCCACCCAAGCAGACAGCTGCTTGCAGAGGAGCCCTCGCCTAGGCACGTCAGGAGGCATCTATAGGAACTGACGGACGAAGTCCAGAGGTTCATCAAGCAACCTCTGGACCCGACAGCTTACTGACTGGCCCTGAACGGCATTCACAGGGAGTCAGTCTCGAGTTATGTAGACTCTAGACCTGTGAATGCCGTTCTAGGCATACCGCGCCCGGACACAGACGAGACGGAGCTTCATCTGCCTCGGGAGACTCGAACGACACTAGCACAACTTCGCTCCGGCTACTGCAGCAGGTTAAACTCCTACCTGAGTAGAGAGACCCCACATGACTCGAAACATCTCTTCGCATGCCCGGAAAACCCGACAACCCTAACGGCCTTGTCCCTGTGGACCAACCCCACAGAAGCTGCACGCTTCCTAGGGCTGCCGTTAGTGGAACTTGACGACAACGACTGAGATACCAACCGTCCTGGGCGGGGTTGTTGTAGCCGCTACAACAACAACAACAACAAACAAAAGCAACCAAAGAGGCTACTAAGGCAGAACAAAAGAAAGAATTGCAAACTAAGCCTAAAGGTAGCACGAAAGAGGTGCGGAGGAAGAACTTCCTTAATAGTCTCTCCGAAGCCGAGGCAGCTCTATTTATAGAGCATGCAAAAGATGATGAGGAACCCTGCACCAGCTCAGGCATCTATCATGAGAAGGCAATAAAATCCACAGGTGGGTATGAGACCACCGAGCAGCAAAAAAGGCACCGCAGAAGCCACGACAGCGAACCAGCTCGAGCGCGGGATAGGTCCCGCAGCCGTAGCTCCACAGCATCTCGAGACTCTACGAGGCAAGAGAGTG